CTCTCGTTCCAAAGAAGGATGGGGCGGAATCCATCTCTGACTTTCGCCCCATTAGCCTCATCCATGCTATCGCGAAGATAATTGCCAAGATGATGGCTACCCGGATGACTCCACATATGCACGACCTTGTCTCAAATGCCCAGAGTGCTTTCATAAAAAAGAGAAGCATCCACGACAACTTCATGTATGTCAGAAATTTGGCGAGAAAATTGCATCGAAAAAACAGCCCGACTCTCCTATTCAAGCTTGATATCAAGAAGGCATTTGACTCTGTGCGTTGGGACTTTCTCATGGATCTTCTCCAACATCTTCGCTTCCCGGTCAGATTTCGGGATTGGGTCGCTGCTTTGCTGTCCACGTCCACCTCGAGAGTGTTGATCAACGGGGTGCTGGGAGACCCTCTGAAGCATGGATGCGGCCTTCGGCAGGGTGACCCGCTGTCTCCCCTTCTTTTTGTCCTCGCCATTGATCCACTCCATCATCTCCTTAGCAAGGCCACTGCCCAAGGGCATCTTCATCCCCTGTATGGTACAACCCCAACCGTTCGAGCTTCGCTTTACGCTGATGATGCTGCCATCTTTGTCAAACCAATTAAGGAGGATATACAATTCTTGGCTGCCACTCTGGTTTCATTTGGAGAGGTGACCGGTCTTGTCACCAACTGTGCTAAAAGTCTTGTTGCCCCTATTCGATGTGATGGTGTAAATCTGGACGACATTCTCCATGCTTTTCCGGCAGTCCGTTCGTCATTTCCGATGCGTTATCTTGGCCTTCCTCTGTCTGTTAAGCGTCTCAAGAGAATCCATCTCCAGCATCTTGAAGATAAGATCGCGGGCAAGCTCCCTTCTTGGCAAGGGAGACATGTGGCTGCTGCAGGCCGAACGGTTCTTGTCAAGGCTGTTCTAACGGCCATCGCAATATATCATCTCACTCCTCTTGACATACCGGTGGAGGTCCTTCAGAAAATTGATAGCATCCGCCGTGCATATCTTTGGGCGGGCACGGACAAGGTTTCTGGAGGGAAATGCAAGGTAAACTGGGACCTCGCTTGCAAACCAAAGAACAAGGGCGGCTCGGGAGTGCTTAATCTGAACAAATTTGCTAGGGCCCTGAGACTTCGGTGGTTATGGTTTGAGTGGAAAGATAAGAGCAAGCCATGGATTGGCATGGGACTGCCATGCACGGATGACGACCGTCACTTCTTTGCGGCGGCCACTACAGTCACTGTTGGAAATGGAAGGACAGCGATGTTCTGGAACTCATCTTGGCTAGGAGGATTGTGCCCCTGTGACATAGCTCCCGGGCTCTACAACCTCTCTCGCAAGAAAAACTCCTCGGTTCAGCAAGCTATGGCCAGCAACCAATGGATTGCGAATATTGACAGCTCCAATGGCCTCTCCCTTGAACACATCCAACAGTTTGCTAACCTTTGGGACAAACTAGCAACAGTGGCCCTCGATGACGACGTTGAAGACTCAATTATTTGGAAGTTCACCAAAGATGGGATATATTCTGCATCCTCGGCTTACAAGGCTCAATTTGAAGGCCTCACCACCTCGGACCTTGTCCATTCGGTGTGGACGGTGTGGGCGCCCCCTCGGTGCAAGTTTTTTGCTTGGCTCGTTCTTCAAGATAGGATTTGGACTTCGGACCGCTTGAGCCGCCGTGGTTGGCCTAATTGCGGTCTATGCCCTCTTTGCAAGCAAACCCAAGAAACCGCGGCTCATCTGCTTTTCCAGTGCCGCTACACCATGCGCATTTGGAATGACGTCCTCCCATGGCTCGGCATGCATCACATCACCACGTCTACCTGGGTGACAAGGGCTTCGGTCAGAGAATGGTGGAACGCTAACCTGCAGATCCGTCTCAGCTCGCCCAAGGCGCTCGCCTCCCTCATGATGCTCATCTCTTGGGAGGTTTGGTTGGAGCGCAATGCTAGAGTCTTCCGCAACTCAGCGGCCCCTTCCATGACCATCATCAGCAAAATCAAGCAGGAGGTATCGCTTTGGGCTTTGGCTGGAGCGAAGCATTTGGGTGGTGTAATGCCGCGAGAGTAGTCCTTTTTTCACCGCTTTGCGGTTTCTGTCTAAAACTTTCTCCCTTAATCAATGAAATGGCAAGTCTTTTGCCTCGTTTCAAAAAAAAAAAAAAATTTGCATCCGGGATCGGAGTTTGGTTTCTGAATAATGGAGCGGGGTAGCAGTAGTAACAGGCAAAACCAATAAGGTGTGGGGCAAGCTGAAGATCCAGCTGCCGCATGTTCCAGCGACCGCCCCTGACAGAGACTCCCCTAGAGCTGGAGAGATTGGATGGTCACTTGCATTGCATCTGAATGTATTTTGTTTCATTCATCATGGGGCCCAGAAAAATGGAATCCTCAGTCACTCCAGTTTTCTGTCTCTCCCTTGCAATTGTGGGTGGATCTTGTAAGTTGCTAGTAGGCTGGATGATCTTTTGATAGATACTGGAGATTTGGAGCCGCTTGATGAATCGCTGCTGTGTAGGTTGTTACATACGGCGTCTTTTAACGTGATCATGCCGCATGCACTGCTGCGCCCAAGTCTGATGCCATGATGGCTATGTGCTACCCGTGAGCTCTGTCCAATTGTTCCGACATGATTAGTTTGATGTACCTCCGTCGGGGTTTGTCCGGGTTTATTGGTCTTCAACGTATTTTGTGTCAAATTTTAACCATATATTTGATGCAGATTTGACTAATAAAATCTAAGTTGTATGCCACAAAAGTTATATTGTTGGATTTATATTCGAAAATGGATTCCAAGTATATTTTGGTAGTTAAATTAATGGTCAATTCTTGACTCAAAAAACACCGGGGACTAATAAACCTAGATAGAGGTAGTAGCTTTGGGC